ACACAGGAGCAACTGAAGTGTGCTGCTTATCTGAGCATAAGGAACGCACTTCACATTTATCTTCATGCTCACATTTTTTTTTCTTTTGAAAAACTCCAAAGGCTTGCCTTTTAATGCAGGGTGGTTGGTCTCCATGGGAAAAAGCAGTTTGGCAGGTTTCATGGCTTTGTTGGCTAGCCAGTCCCCACTTATACAAAGCAGGCTGGGAGAATATGAATCACCTATTGCAGTGAACCTGTAATTTAAGTAGAACCCTTGGAATTTTCTTTTAAATGCAGCTTTCTTTTTGTCGGCAGTCTTAGAGTCTTCTGTGGTCTCATCAGTGGGTCTTCCCCACTTTTCAAAGAAGCTCTCCAGTAGTATTTGTTTTCCAATGATTTTGCCTAGGATTAGCATGTGGGTTTACCAAAACTGTGACTGAGACAAGTGCACATTGCAGGAAAGAGGCACAGACAGAAGTGGTACATAAACTAATGGGCAGGCCATGCACCAACCCATTAGGTGTTGGATTCTGACTTAAAGCCACCAGCTGCAGCTGTACAATTAAAGTGTATCAACTCACTTGCCACTATAAAGCCTGTTGCCAGATGCAGCTTAATTGTCACTTGCCACTCACTGATAGGGTTTTGATATGAGTCTGCAAGCGATTGATTTATTATGGTCTCTGTGCAGTCACACCTTTCTGCTAAGGATAATCTGTATTTGCAGCTGCTGCACTGGGTCCATGGCCTTGGGGTTGGGGACCCCTGGTTTAAGAGGTTTGAAGAGTCTTCTAATCTGTAGTAAGTCTTTCTCACAGTTAAGAGATGCTGGTAGAAGCCTGGGTAAAATAAAAGCTAGACAACAAATACAAAACTTTGATGCCATGATATATAGCTGCTTCATGGACATTCTATAGCTGGATGTAGTTGATAAGTCTAAGAAAAACTATGCATGTTCTTAAATTTGTTCTGCCGAGGCAGAACATACTTCAGGGAAGAAAAAGTCACTATTAACTATCTCAAAGTTTTAAAAAGTAAAACTCTGACATTAAAATTTAAGTAGTTCTTTGGTATTTTCTATAACCACTGCTCTTAATACTGAGTTTTAATAAATTCTTTCAGAATAAAAACCAGTGATTCTTGATCTCAGAAGTAATGTTCCCATTTTTCCTTCCACAGTGGTAATTCCATTGTTCTAAGACAGCTAAACAATTTTTTGTATCTTCCTCAATTTCTTTCTTCATTGTCCTATAGTTGTCCTAGTACAGGTCTTTTACATCCTTGGTTAAATTTATTCCTAGGTATGTCTTATTGTTGTTGTTGCAGTATAAATGGGTTTGTTTTCTTAGTTTCCCTTTCTGATAGTTCACTATGGGCATACATAAATGCCATCGATTTCTCAATATTGACATTTCATCTTGCTACTTTGCTGAATTCACTTATGAGGTTGAGCAGTTTTTTGGCAGCGCCTATAGGGTTTTTTATGTACAATATCATGTCATCTGAGAATGACAGTTTTATTTCCTCTTTTCCACTTTAGGCATCTTTTATTTCTTCTTCTTGTCTGATCACTGTGGCTAGGACTTTCAGTACTATGTTAAGACAGACTGGTGAAAGTGGACACCCATCTTGTTTCTGATCTTAAGGGAAACATTTTTACTCTTTGCCCATTGAGTATAGCGTTGGCAGTAGGTTTGTCATATATGGCCTTTATTAGGTTGAGGTATACTCCCTCTGTTCCCACTTTGCTGAGTGTTTTTATCATAAATGGGTGTTGAATTTTATTAAATGCTTTTTTCTGTATCTATTGATAAGATCATGTGACTTTTGTCCTTCATTTTGTTTATGTGGTATATCATGTTTATTGATTTATAGATATTGCACCATTCTTGCATCCCTGGAATAAATCTCACTAGACTTATGATCTTTTTAAAGTATTGCTGGATTCAATTTGCTAATCATTTGTTGAGGATTTTAGCATCTATGGCCTGCATTTTTTCTTTGTTTTTTTAATAAAGAGAGATATATTTTTTTAAGATTTTATTTATTTATCTTTAGAGGGAAAGGGGGGAAGGAGAGAGGGAGAGAAACATCAATGTATGGTTGCCTTTCATGTATCCCCTGCTGAGAACTGGCCTGCAGGGAACCGGCCTGCAACCCAGGCAAGTGCCCTGACTGGGAATCGAACCGGGAGCGTGTAGTTTGCAGACTGGCACTCAATCCACTGAGCTACACCAGCCAGGGCATGCAATTTTTTCTTTGTTGTGTCTTTACCTGGTTTTGAAATTAGGATGATACTGGCTTCATGAAATAAGTTTTGAAGTCTTCCCTCTTCTTGAATTTTTTGGAATAGTTTGAGAAGGATGGATGTCAGTTCCTCTTGAATGATTGGTAAAATTCTCTTATGACATCATCTGACCCAGGGCTTTTGTGTGCTGGGAGATTTTTTGATTACTGTTTCAATTTCACTAGTTGTTTTTGGTCTATTCAAGTTTTCTAATTCTTCCTGACTCAGTTTTGGAAGATTGTAAGTTTCTAGAACTTTATCCATTTTGCCTAGGTTGCCCAATTTCTTAGAATATTTGTTCACAGTAATTTCTTATAATCCTTTGTAATTCTGGGGTATCTATTGTTACTTCTCCTCTTTCATCTCTGATTGTATTTATCTGGGTCCTCTCTCTTTTCTTCTGAACTAAATTACCAGAGAATGGCACACACGAATGCCTGATATTTTTTCCAAATCAACAAATATTTAAAGTTAACAACCAATTTCTGTTAATTGAAAAGCATCTGACTGGAACTGAGTTTGAACATAATCATCTTGTTTCTCACCCAATGGCATAGTACATGAAATTGAAATTATTAAGTAATCCTAATAGAGATTAAAATAAATGATGAGAATTTATTTTAATGAGTTACTGACACTAAAAAATAAGTATGAAGAAACTCAGTAACAACAGTAATAAACCATCATGAAGTTTCTGCTTACACTGATGAATTAAGTTTTATCTTTATTGTGCTTGTTTTCCTTCAGATGTAGAAGTCTATCAATTATCATTCATTACTGAAGTTAAGCCTTACTATATTGAAATATAGAACCAGAGAAGAACTTCACTCACTCTTATTTGTCAAAGGGTGCAGAACATTTTGTGATTGCATCAGGTAGTTGTCATGCGCACTACTGTTCCCATACTGCACCAGTGTTTTTCTAACAATGGACTACCGTGAGCTCTTTTGAATGCTATTAAATGAACAATACCTATTTAACCCTGTTTCTTCATGAGTCCAAACAGGTCATTACAGCTTAAAGATCATCTGATTAATTTCATTGTTTGCCCACGTAATCCTATGTTGCATATTTTCTCCAAATCTCCAATTCTAAGCCAGTTACCTTTTCTATATACAACAGATTTTATACTACAATTTTTTTAAATGAATGATATAAGTGAGCTCTTTCAACTGTTCTTCTTTTTAAAATGTTTTTATTATGCAATATTTTGTCCTTTCTTATTTTTATAAAAAACTATGTCTTTCTTTACAATGCTAACTTTTTTTATTGTTGTTCAAGTACAGTTGAACAACAATAAAATGGAGATTTTACCCCCACCCCCTACCGCCCCACCCATCCAGCCTCCACCTTCCATCCTACCCCCTTTGGTTTTGCCCAAGTGTCCTTTATTCAGGTGCCTTGATGCCTTAACTTTTCAGCCTGTGCTTACAAACCCACTGCTTCTGCTTCCAGTTTCCATCCCCTCTCTTCCAATGACTTCCCTATGACTTTCAGCATCAGGTCTTCCCTTGTTTCTAATTGATCCAACCAGCAAGTTACTAATGCTATTTTCATCACAATGCTCCAAATTCTTTAAAGGTTCCCTAGCATCTCTAAGTTAGTTTAATATCTTGTCTAGGCATTCAAGATTTTCACCAAGCTGACCCTAAATGGCTTTTCTATAATGTTCCCTAGAACAAAATCTGCTTCTGAAAGGCTGATTGACTTACCCTTCTTAACTATGGTTTAATTATTATCTTCCCTGATATTTAACAGTGCTGTGAATGTCACTGAAATACCTACTTCTTCCTTCATTTCTCTGGTTTTCAAGCTTCAGCTCAATTTCTTTCTTCTCTGTGAAGTTGTCTCATAGCTCTAGACTACATTTTCTTATTCCCTGTAGTTTTAACAAACCAACTCCTGGTTTAGCTCTCAGTTACAATGTATCTTTATTTACATCTGCATTCATGCTTATGCCCACATCCTTTCCTTTGAGTAACCGACCCGAACAGTTGAGGGAATATAAGAATGAATAATGTTCTTTTATTTACTCAGTATTCTTAATATAACCTCTCAGATAATAAAAACACATTTATTAAATAAATGAGTAAAACCTCTTAATATTATTAATATAACCTCTCAGATAATAAAAAAAATATGTGTTGAATAAATGAGTAAAACATCATTGCCAATAGACCTGCTATAAACAGTGACCACTATTCCAGAGATGTAACAGAGTAGATAACACTGCAGGAAAGGTCATGCAAGAACTGGAAGATCTGCGTGATATCAATCCCAAGTGTCAATTATTTAAGAGTAAAACCAACCACTAATTTTAAAATCATGTTGTTTAAAAACAAAATAGTTCAGTGTCCCCACTATTGCCAGTATATTTGTTCATTTGTATTATTTCGTTGTATGAATATACTACAATTGCTTTTTATCCACTCAGCTGTTAGGAGATATTTGGATTGTATCCAGTTTTTGGCTATTACAAATATAGCTGCTGTAAAGATTTGAAAAAAAAAAGGCACTAATATACAACATGTTCCAATTCTAAAGTTGGAATGAGAATTCCATCTTATAAGAAGAAAACAGAAACGTCAAAACTGTACAAGTAAAGAAAGAAAACAATGGTTTGAGAACATATATACATTTGCATATATGCTGGAAATTCCATTGTTTAAACACATTATTGTATGGCCCATTATTTTCAAAGCATGAATCTTAAAACTCTATGTTCTACATACCTGTCCAATCTCCTACTATTTTAAGGTGGACCCCAAATGTTGCTTTGGTTTCAGTAGGACACTGAAAAAATAAATAAACACTAGCATCACTTCTGAACAATAATTATTATTACCAAGTATTACTGAATTATAATATTTATTCTCACAGTAAATCCCCCAAATGTAAAAGAGAAAGCAGTGGACTAAAACTTTTTATATAGATCCTCATTAGTAGAAGAAAAAAAGCAACATCAACTAGTCAATAGGGCAATACACATTTCTCTAAAAGCTCATAAGTACTTATATAAAACAATATAACAGTCTAGAACTGGTAGTATATTACATCCAACTATAAATCTTGCTTAAATATCTTTTGAGTTAAAATATTTAAGAGGCTGAAGATTTTAACTAAAAGGCAGACATGTACACTAATAATTTCAGTGTCTTATTCTCTCCAGATATTATATACTTCGTATCCTAACAAATTCTAAGAAACAGAAAAATAAAGACAGAAAGTGAAAACTCACTTTATACACATCTATTTAAAGAGATTTATTATTAGCTTTTGTAATGTTTATCATTTTAAATGTTAAATTTGAAAGTAAACATGGAAACATTGCTGAGTCTTTTTCTGGTCTCACGTAAGTTTCCTAGATGAAGAGAATGGAGTTTGGCTCATGCTGACCTTAACATAAGTACCAGAATACACAACATCTAGTTTAAGGATAAGAAAATAAAGTGACAGAATTTGTAAAAACAGATCTGAGGGAATGTGTACTTTGCTATCGTGGACAAAATATAATGTTTCCTTCAAATTCGTTGTTCAGTATGGTGTTGAGATCTTAATGTGCTTAAAAGACTAATGAATTTGGAACAGTTCCATAAAAATATAAACAGATATTATGTAATTATCTTACATTTGGGAACTAAATGTGAAAATGATGTCAGTGTACAAGGATTTACTCAACATGGAAAAGAAATTTAAAAGCCACAAAGTGTTTGTTTTTAAACTTATTAAACCAGAGAAAATGATCAAATAACATTATGTTCTTTAATCATTATTGTCAGGACTTTATTTTTAGCTTCTTTTTCCAAAGATCTACTTTCACATTTTCTATTCCAGCTAGACATTTCCATCAGAAATTCACTCTAAATGTAATATAGCTAAAACTGCTGTTATCTTAGTTCCTAAGTTACAGTCTCCTTCTCATTCTCTTACATCTGCACATGAAACCTATGGAACTTCTATATCCTATCAGAACAGAGGCTCAAATCTCAGAGTAATATCTGGTATTTTTCTTTCTACCAGCATTCAATTGACTTTCAAGTCCTTTTAAATAATCTTATCAAAGAAAGTGTCTGATCACAGTAGTATCCCATGAATCAATCTTTTGTGCCCCACCTGTGGAAGAACACCCACATACTTTCTTTCCTATAGTCTATGGCCGACCACATCTGTTCTGAATTCTTTCCAACTTAGTATTCCAAGTTTCTCTTTGACTCACTCTCATAATCCAAACCAACATGGATCAACTATAAATCTTCCTGTCCCTTCCCTTCACTACTTACTAGTCTACCTGTAAAAAGATCATCTTGAGAAGCTAGCCCATCTTTCCCTCAAAACAATGAGAAATCTTAGGTCTCAGGGATAAAAGAAAGAAGCTGGGTTTGGGCTCATGATTTAAAAAAGAAGAAATGCTCATGTCTGTATATGGAATAATTTGACCTCCCAGGTTCATCTCACTCCAAGCATAAACCTGGCTATTACTCCTCCACAAACCCAAAGATAAGCAGAGGTGAGACAAAGATAAACATCTTACTAGATGCAGAAATAACCAGTACAGTAGGAACTAGAGCGAAGATGCCATTCATTAGCTCAGTAAATATATTTAAAGCACGCTAAGTGCCATCTCACATTTACCCACCCAAAAGCAAGCTCTAAATACCCTCATCAGAACCTGCTCTGCCATAATGAGCCTTCCCAATCTCAGGTAATGTGATTCCAGTTGCTCACACAAAAAACTTTGACAATAAACTGGACCCTTCTATTTCTTTCATATTCCATACCTAGACTATCAAGGAATCCTGGTTAACACTAACTTTAAAATATGTCAAGAATCTGACACTTCCTACCAGCTCCACTCGGGGGCAAGCCATCATCATACTTCAACTGGATGAGCTTCCTAACTGTTCTCCCTGCTTCTCTTCATCTAATATTAACATAGCAGTCAGACTGATCTTATGAAAAAAGCAAGCTGGGCATGTCATTCCTCTACTTAAAACCCTCCTAAGGCTCCACCTCACTCAAAGTAGAAGCCAAAGCCCCAGAATCTGACTGCTCAGATCTTCCCTGACGTTATTTCCTATCATCTTTTCTTTTTCTTAGTGTACTCAAGCTGCACTGACCTCTGACATCTTCTTTTCCTTACCCACATACACTCACACAGATGCAAGTCAAAATATACCAAGCATAAATAAGGGCGGAAACTACCAGGTTTTTAAACAGAGAAATGATGTGATCTGATTTGCATCTTAAAACAATCATCCTGACGGCTTCTTGAGATTAACTGCTAGGTGAGTAAAGGCAGACAGAGGGAGACCAATTAGGAGACTATCCAGATGGTAGTGGATCAGACCAGGGTAGGCGCTGTGAAAATTTTGGACATATTTTGAAGGGAGAGCCAAGAATTTTTGTGAACAGATTGTCGACTGTATTTTTTTAAGGATACAAGTCAAGTTTGATGTCCAGGTTTTCAGCCTGAGTAAACTGGATAATGGAGTTGGCACTACCTTAAAAGAGGAAAGACTATGGGTGGAATAGGTTTGGAAGGCTGAAGATTAAGAGCTCAATTTTAGCCATGTTAACTTACAATTTATTTTAGACATCCAAGTGGAAGTTTCTGACAGATAATAGAATATACAACCTTGAATTTCAGAGTTGGGGGCTGAGCTGGAAATATAAATTTGGGAGATAATAGCACACAGATACATCGATAAGATTGACTAGGATCACCAGACAAATGAGTTTAGTTAGAGAAAAATATCAGAACATCCAGTACCAAGAAGTGGACACCGGGGTGTTCTGATATTTAGAGGCTATGGGGATGACAAGGAACAGCAAAATATTTTAAAAGAGCCAGAAAATTAGGAGAAAAGCCAGGTGAGTGGAAGTCCTGGAAGCAAAATGAACAACACATGTTAATAAAGCAAGTGGTCATCAGCTGGGCTAGACGCGCCTGAGATATGAAACCCACTAAGGACTGAGAAAGGAACACTGGACTTAGCAACAACATGGTCATGTTGACCTTGGAAATGTTTTCGCTGTGGGCGAAAGTTGGTAGATTTAAGAGAGAACAAGAGGAAACAAACTGAAGAACTGAAAAATAGGGGAGAGGCTGGAAGGAGATGTGAGTCAAGAAAGGGCTTTCATCCATCATTTTCTCTTTGATACCTAGTGAAAAAGAGGCATCCAAAAATACCAATTGAATAAGTCAAGTTTAATATTAAACAGCAGGTTCACTCTGAAAACACTGACTGATTTCAGTTCCTATTTATTATGCAGGTCCCCCTTATGCACTGAAGAAATATTTTCTTTTTCCCTGGAAGGAAGCCAAGCTAGAGCCATTAGATGATGTTTAACTTTCAGAGAATTCAGACGTCCTGTTATATTTCATGAACATTAGTGACCTTCTGTGTCAATTTCCACCACTGTGCCTGGTCTATAGTTAAGACATTTATTGCCTTGCTAATCTGTCATCTATCCCAGCTGAGTTTCTGAGCTAAGCAAAAGATTTGTGAAACTCTAGAGAAAAGCAATTTTCAGAAATTAGAGAGATGAGAGCAAGGCCCAAGATCCAAACCACTGATGCAGATTTCCTGCTTATATTTAAACCCATGAAATTAAATCAATAATAACAAAAAATGTTTCCAGTCTTGAAGAGATTCACGGCCATTCTAGTCTGGTTTTCATTGAAAACTGGAAAGCCTATTCCCAAAGTGACTGGTTGAGAGATTAAAAACACAAAGCAGAAAAATGATGGCAAGTAAAGGCATGCTATGTAAAAGTACGGACAATAATAAACTAACAGCTAGACTTGCCTCTGACTCATGGAAAAATATGTGAAATTGGGTTATCCAAGCTTAAAAATAATGAATCACACAACTCAGAACACAGATGTCAGGAAAGCACATGTGTACTTCTGAATTAAAATAATAAGGGAAGGATATAGAAATATTTGTGTAAACTTCAACCAATCACTACCATTTAAAAAGTAGGTTCTGCATGATTTCTTTAATTGAGAACCCATGAAAAATACTAATGAGCATAATTTCATGTCTACCTCAGTTAAATACTAAGAGAAGCTACAGTTTGTAATAAGCAGTAGGTTTCATGCTTTCTTAAGTTTGGCTTTTAAAAATCATATCAGATGTGTACATCTAAATTAGTTGGGGCATGCTTTAATAGAAGATTTGTTTTGGTAGAAAAATCCAAACTTTGTTAATACAGAGCATAGCTGCAAAACACTTCTAAAGATCCACTAAAAGCTGAAGAACGACATGTAAAATTCTACCCAGGTTTTCAGCCAATAGAGGTCCATCGTTCATCCTAATGGCTAGTAAACCACAAAAGGCAAATAAATCATCTGTCCTTAAATGGCTGTTTCTAAACAAGTCTGTGGCCAGAGCGTAGTCAGTTACTGCATGCAGCAGAATGAGGCCAAAAAATTCAGTTTAATCCTGTCTTGAGTCTACATTCATTATCTGAAACAACAACCATAACAAATAAAAATAGATAGCACAATAGCTATGGTAACACAGGAAGTGATAACAATAATGAAGAGATGTCAACGAATTTTGAAAGGTGAAATGTGGATGAGGTGGTGGATAACAACTTCTAACCCACTGAGAACTTACTATATGCCATGCACCATGATTAGCACTTGACTAATACATCTTTTTAACTCATATTAGCACTTGACTAATATACCTTTTCAACTCATATTCACAGTAACTTCATAAAGAAGTTATTATTATTTATGCACATTTTATAAAGAAGCAAACCAAAAATATATTACTTATCTT